CTGTGATAAACAGTTGCTGGTTTCTACATCCTGGGTTGAAAAACTGGGAGCTATGAAAAGAGAGTATCTTGTTAAAGGTGTTCATCTGCCTAACTCCAGAGGAGAAACTGAGCTGGCATTGGTGTCCAGAACATGCAGTGTGGTTTGTCTAAAATTCTGAAGTGTGCACAGAAGTCAATTCAGCCCCGAGTGATGTCAGCCGAGCCGCCACAGCCCTTGCCCGACGCTCCCCTCCTCCCGAAGAACCAGATGATGGTTTCCTAAGCTCCCTGGGCTGAGCCCCAGTGCCAGGGTCTGGAGATGACTAAGAGGAAAGGTGCTGAGTCTGGAGCGCCTCCGGGGATACACCCTGGGGGTTTCAGCACTGATGGGGCTCTTAGCTAGCAAACCCTTACTAAGTAATTTCACCTGGCAAGACTGAGCTGTTGCAGTCACCATCCCTTACAAAACTCTCCACGATCTGGGAGAAAGGAGCAAGCGAATGAATACTGCTGGCTGTCGCCTGTGTGCTAATGTTGCCCTCTGGTAGGGCAAAGCTTGAATTTGGCCAGATTTTAATTGTCATAAGCTTCAGAATTGTCAATTTAGCAAAACAAACTTAGCAACAGATGCTTTTAAAATCTTTTTGAATCCAGTGGGGCATGGTGGTACATGTCTGAAATCCTAGCACTTGGGAAGCTGAGGCAGGGGGATCATGAGCTTGAGGCCAGCCTGGACTTCACAGAGGGACCCTCTCTCAAAAACAAAACACAAAACAAAACAACAACAAAAATTCCATGTTTGCAGTTTTCAAAGGTGTCTAGTAAAGAATTGTGCTGTGGCCAAAATTTGGTTAAGTTTCACTTCTCCCTCATGTTTCAATGAACCTTTCACCTCCCTGACCTGCAGCTAAAGGCCTTTGTCCCTCCCCATCCCTAGATTTAGGAGAGGAGAAGGGGGCTAACATTTGTTCGATGCCTACTCTGCCTCAGATGGTTTTCCCACTGTAATATCTCACTTAATCCTGCAAAGAAGATATTGAAAATTGAATCTCATGAAAATCCCTTAGATGAAGTCACAGAGTTCACTCCAGGGCCGTGTCGAGCTCCAGAGGTGATATTCTTTTCACTTGCCTGCCTCACCCTGCTCTTTCTGCTGTCCTCCAATGATGACCCCTTCACCCCTCCGTCCACACCACCTCCTCAGGTCCTTTTCATCACTTTCTGGTCACACTAGTTCAGCTGGAAGGCCTTCTCTCAACCCTTCTGCCTGTTCTTTCCTGGTTATAAGACACCCTGTACATTTTTCTGTATTGTCTTGTTTATTGTTGGTCCCTGTCAGCAGCGTGTTGCTAAATGTGCATTCTTACTGGTGATGCAAAATACCTAACACCTACGCTTAAGGAGAGAGAGGTTTAATTTAGTTCAGGGTTTCAGAAGGTCCAGTCCATGGTCATCTGCCTCCAAGGCAGAAACATCATGGCAGAAAGGTGTGGAAGAGCAAAACTGTTCAGTTCACTGTGGGCAGGAATCAGACAACTGGAGAAGAGAGCCAGAGAGAAAGGGACCAGGAACCAGTTATAGACCCCAAAGTCATGTCTCCAGGAGCTACCCAGACCCATCTGCAGGTGTGCTTGACAGATCACTGAAGTTCCCAGACCAATTAAGTTGACAGTTCAGCTTCACTGACACAGGTTACCATGGCGGTCTGTTCAAGAGACGATGATGACTCTAGGTTGGCAAGAGAGGTAGAAGCAAGCCAACAGGACCTGAGAACTGAATAGATCCCGGGGTGCAGAAGAGGGAGGAAACTGACTTTCAACTTTCTCTCGCCATCTTTCACCTCATGGTAAAAAATTACCTACTCAAAATATTTATCTGTGCTAACAGGAGAGTAAAGAATATTTCAGGCTCTTCAGCAGTGGTCCCGTTTCTGCCCAGGAGCATTCATTCATTCATGAGGCTGCGCTCCAGGCTGGCCCGGAAGGAGGCTGTCCAGGCAAAACAACCATGTTGGCTAAGCAGCGATTATGGCGGTTCCATGAGCAGCACCAAGACTAGGACTGATCCCTGTGACCGAGTCCTTCCAGTATGAGGGACCATGCGTGAGAGATGGAGGGCACTGTGCCTGTTGTGCCCTGGGAACCTTAAGCCCTGTGAGCTTGGACAGGTGACGTTTAACTGAAGTCATGAGCCATGCTGGGGTCACTAGGCAGAGGAGGTAGAAGGCTGTCCTGGGGTAGCAGAAACTCTGAAGACAGTCTCTCCCATTCCCCAGCTGGCTTTATCACCCTTCAGTGAAATCTTTCCAGGCTCTGAGAAAAAAAAAAAAAAAGTGCTGTTTTTCAAGAGCAGAAGGAATCTTCCAAAAAAACATCTGTACTTGTTTCAAATGGAAGCAGCCACTGCCAGGAAAACAGCAACCTTGTTTTGTCAGAGCCCAGTCTGTATTTATTCTTTTGTCCTTGTTTAATTAGATTAATCCCTCAATGGTTTCCCTTGGGTCGGTCCAAGTTACTCACAGCCATAAATCCCAGTATTCTAAAAACAGTATGAAAGGGCTGTCTGCCCGGAGCCAACTGGCCAGCACGCTGGCCGGCTCTGCCCTCTGTGCTCACACCCCTGTGTGCATCTGCGGTTCTCGGCTGCTGGAGAGGGGACAGCACTCACACTGAGGTTTGTTTGGTGGAAGAGACTGAGCCCAGGGCTCTCAGGTCAGCCAGGGGAGACCAGCTTGTCTGGCGCAATGGGGGGACTTTTACATGGTCTCCCGCAGCTTCTCTGGACAGCTGAGGCCGGGTTCTGCTGCTCCTGTACTTGGGACCTTGCTGTTATTCTTCAAGCTCTACCCAGATGTCCCAACCTGTCCAGAAAGGAAGGAGCATTTCCTTGCCTCTTGTTCTACCCACTTTGTAGGGGGAAGTTTTTTGGGGGGCAGCAGGGGGACTGTGGCTTCAAAGTTTTGGTTCTAGTTGGTTTTATTTGTTTTTGCTACTGGGGATTAAACCTAAGGCCTTTTGTGCTAAGCTAAATTCCTAGCCCTTTTTACAGTTTTTAAATTTTGAGACAAGGTCTCCCAGGCTAGGCTCAAGCTTGTAATCCTCCTGCCTCATCCTCTCAGAGTGTTAAAGTTACAGACATGCACTATGCATTCTGTTCCATAAGGAGTTTTTGGTTGATTATTATGCAAGCCAACAATTACAAAAGAATAAGAATCACCTGTGTTTCCCGCTCCTTGTTCACTGGTTAGGCAGGGCTGCAGACCCCAGAGTGAATATCCTATGGATAAATATTTCTTGTATCTCGTCTAGGCTTGTAACTGCTAATGAGTTTTATCATTCCTTGATTATTTCCTATAATTTTTTCATCAGCTGGTTTCCATCTAAATTCATCAGAAACCAACATTGAAAATCCCTGTTGGAGTTCCCAAATGGAAATCTAATATATAAGCCTACTAGTAAGAAGTAAAGAAATTTGAGTCTACAATTTTTTTCATGTACTTTATTGATTTGAGAGTGAAAATACTCTCTTTAGGATTTTTATAGAATCTTTACTTGCACAACCTTAAACCTAACATTTTTTAATGTGATTAGGTAGATTTTTTTTTGGGGGGGTGGTATCAGGAATCGAACTCGGGTCTTTGTGCTTTTGAAGCTGGTGGTGGAACCACTGAGCTAAATCCCTGGCCCTGTTTCTAAAAAATGATTTAATGTATATAATGAGGACATTGAACCAAATCAGCTTTTATCTTCTTATCAATTTGATATATTTATCTAAAAGTGCAGTGAACTATGAAATTCAGAGATCTGTGGGGTGATATGCAGTAGAACCACTGGATAAAGAGCCCATCAAGCTTTCTAGCTAGCCAAGATTATATCATACCTCTATTAGTGAAAGCTTTTAGCCAGAGATGATGCTCTTTTAAAATATTCAGCTCTTTACTCCACGCTGGTTTTCTACAGTTGTAACACATCTTGGTGTAGCCAGCTCTTTCATAGCACCTGAGCCAACCCTTGCTGGGAAACTGTCACCCTGTCTGCCAAGGAGAGACTGAGTCAGGGGTGCAGTCTAACTTCTTCATCCTCTGATAGATTCTTACTTGGTGGTCAGTGCAGGCCTGTGTGTGAGTTCCTACACTGCGTATGGATTAATAGCCAGGGCTCGGCTCTTTGTGCATGTGAAATAAATACTTGACCAAAATAAGGCCGCAGGTAGCCATACATTCATTTTTTTCCCTGGTGACTTTCTTACCTCTACCTGTCTTGTTTTCCTCATTTGTTCCCGAGATGAATGAACGGAGCACAAAGATATTCAAAGATCTTCCTGTACGTAAATGGGATAAAGAAAGTCGATGGGAACGTGTCTGTTAGGGGCTATTCGTAGACTTACCATGTTTTCAGTGGAGTAGAAAGTCCTTTAATTGGGTCCTCCTGTGTTCAGTGACCCCCTTTGTAAAATGTCAGAGGCATTGCTGCATCGTCTTGGTGTACGTCACCGAGACAGTGGTTACCCAGAGGGCAGGAGCAGAGCTTGATATGAACAAGTCCAAGTAGCTTCTGAGCACTTTTCACTGACATAGGAAATCAGAAATTGATAGTAATTAAAACTTAATGTATTTCATAGAGGTGAGAAATAATTCCAGCCTTAAAAACTATGTTTTTATAAACACAAACACTCACCAAAATGTCAACAGTGGTTGCCTCTGGGTGGTAGGATGACAGGAGCATTTCCCTTGATTTGTTTTTGTTTTTGAGACAGTCTTGCCATGTAACCCAGGCTGGCCTTGAACTTGTAGTTCTCTTGCCTCAGCCTCTCAAGTGCTGGAATTATAGGCATGAGCCACCACACCCGGCTTCCATTTGACGTATTTTTGTTTTCCAAGCTTTCTACTCTGATTACCTTTTAGTATTTGCAGTATTTTAGAAAGTTACTTTCAGCAAAAGCTGTGAAGTTGTTCATACGGTCGCCCCGGGCTGGGGCACTTCTCCATTGCTGTGTTCTCATTGTGCCACTTTGCCTCAGTCCAGGACCTGTGTGCCGTGGAGGACCACGCCTGTGAGCAGCTCTGTGTGAACGTGCCCGGCTCCTTCGTCTGCCAGTGCTACAGTGGGTACTCGCTGGCCGAGGATGGGAAGAGATGTGTGGGTGAGTATCTTCCTGTAGCGTGGGCAGGGAGAGAGCCAAGGGCGGGAAAGTGGGAGGGGAAGCTGTGCACCACACTCCCGCACATCCTATTAGACTCCTCTGGGTTTCAACAAAGCGCCCAATTCCTTGGTCTCATTAGGTAGCATTTGAATTCCGAAGACTTCATATGTGGCGAAGGTCAGCATTTATTTACTCAGATCCTCAGCTAAAGGCCTATTTATGATAACCGTCTGTTACTGTATTGCCTGACAAGGACTCAGTAGATTTTGTTCACCTTTGGTGGCCTGACTTAAACATAGCCTGCATGTTGAACATGAAATGCATTTGGCAGTGGGCAGGGGAACTGGGTGGCACCTCAGAGACATTGGCATCTTCCTTCTGCCTGCTGGGCCTGCGGGTTAGTGAGTGGCCTGAGTGTCCGCCAGGTGTGAGAGCCTAGAAGTCTTCATCAAGACAATGCAGGCAGAGAAAACTGTGGCCTCAGCTAGGCCCAAGCCCAAGCCCTCAGCTCAAGGGCAAGATGGTGGGCACTTGCCACGGTGGTGTGACCCTGGCCACAGTGGTGTGAACTTCGGCACAATGGTGTGAACTTGCAGCCGGCCCAACAGCATTGGCACTGGCTCACAGTTTTCCTCAGCACCTGCAGAACAGGCATCCGGACTGGAGCCTAGATTTTCTCACTGAATCCCGCATTTTCTCCTCCCTACCTCATTGTTTTCCAGTGCCCTATTTTGTTTTGCTTCCCACAGTGTGTGCTTGCTTACTCATTTACAGCACATAGGTTTTGCGTGTTCTAGCACACCTTGATTCTTAGTGAGGGAAGTGAAAGGAGAACACCACGACAAAAAGGTGGTAGCCTGCTATTTGTCGGTGAGTGATGACGGCTGGTTTTTCATACCGGTGAGGCTCATCAGAAGCGTAGAGATGGAATTGGTCTCTTTAGCCTTAGAGTTGTCTTTTGCTACTTTATTTGGTGATTTGGAAGAATTGTCTTCATCTGCTGCTGGTGACCATGCCAGAGGCAGATACTAGCACTAGCACTAGTGTTTAGCACAAACACTAGCAACAATATCAATATATGTGAACATCAATTCTTACTATTTGTGCCTCATTGACTTTTGTTATGGAAGTAATATACTTTTACTGGTAAACTTAAACAGATGAGAAAAATCACTATTTGCTGTATTTCCTACCAGACTCCTTCATCCCCATGGAAATATCTACTTCAAAACTTATTCATTGGGCCAGGGATATAGCTCAGTGGCACCACGCCTGCCTGGCAAGTGCAAGGTCCTGAGTTGGATCCCTGGTACCAAAACAAAACAATACAACCCTTCTTATTCATGGGGTACCACTCAGCCAAAAGGATATGTTTGAATCTTTTGTAGGATATGGATCTGGAGACCGTAATGCTAAGTGAAATAAATCAGACACAGAAGGTTCAATACGAGAGACCTGAAATACAAATAATTTAAAGGACAAAATAAAAGAGAAGTGGTAGGAAAGAGGGAGGTAGACTGTGGGGATGAAAAGGGGATCTGGGGAAGGAGGAAGAGGGAGGCCAGAGTAAGGAGTAAAAATGACCAAGATGTGACGTGTAGCAGGCATTGGTTTCTGCTGTAGTTCCATGCAGTCCGAAAGTCAGGATGAATAAAGATACTACGGGGGTGGTGTGATATATATCTGAACCATTTCCCCTGGGTAGATGTAATTATATATTGCACACATAATTAAGAGATCAGCGTAGAGTTAGAAAAAAACCCTTTTTATTGATACTTAAGAAAATGAAGTCACTCTGTTTTGTTTACTACTTTTTTTTTTTTTTTTTTTTTTTTTTT